TCCGCCTATTGCAATAATGATCTTCGTGGTTCTAAGATGATAAAAGACCTCCTTATGGGTATACGGTAGATAAGCAGTCAGTAGGGTGTGCAGGCTAATACTCTACAAGATTAAAAAGTGATGCAGCATTGAAACTTTCCACACCAATAGGTTTGTTTGTTGGCCGGTTCTTCTGTCTGCAATCAATCTGATCCATTGATACAACTACCTTCCATTGCTTACTCTTTAGACTTGTTTTGCTTACGAAGCTATGATTGCTTGGTGCAACCTTAGCACCTGTTATTTTTGTCTTCTTAAAGCTTTTAACAATGAAGCACATAATCTACCAAAGTGAACAAACACTGTTTCAATAGGACAGCACAAATTGAAAATTACATTCACGGTGTCGATAAGCGATTCAAAAGAATAGAGGGATTGTTGAAAGGAAGACCACAAGCAGACAATGGCAATAGATTTCTTTTGGTGAGGGATTCTGTCGACTGAAAGATTCCGCATTTTTGTATGCCCTTGTTTTGTGGAAATTAACGTGAGGTGTGTCAACCTAGAGTCAAAGTTTGGCCTAAGATAAGGGAAAGTGAGTGGTTGTTAGCGCAGATCGATGCCTTCAGTTTGAGAGAAAGAAAATGTTGAGGTGCTTAGTAATGACTTTGTTCAGTACAACATTACTTTCGGTAGGCGTTAGGGAGGAGTTTGTCATGCCAAAATGATCAAAGCTTGGATTGTGACCAGAATAAAGTCCCCAACAATTAAAATTCAATTTTTGTTAGCAATGGGAACAACGAAAGGAATAAATACATCATAAAAGGAGCTGATGTCGATTTGTGGGCCAAAAGGAGTAAGTTAGAGACTGGTAGTTATCGTGCTTCGAGAAGGGGAAAACCTACAGTTGACACGAAACAGTGAAGCAGTCAATTAGAGGATGTAAACGAAATTTCGGACTTAGAAAAATAAGCGGAGTTAATGTACGTTATCGCCCCGCCCCGGTTTTCTTCCTGCTTCTTTCTCTGTCTTGTCAAACACTTGCGATACCAGGTATATTGAACAGCAAATTCTCTACGGTTTGGTTCAACCACATTTTCTGTAGGCATATCACACATGTGTTTCTGTGCACGCAATAAGTAAATAGATCAACGAGGTCAGCCAATTTTTTAAACGAAGAACGAATGTTGCAAATGACCAATGAGAGAACAGTCATTTTCTGTGTGTGCAAGAGCAGTCTGCAATCCGGAACGTTCACATTTCTTGTTCCAGACAGAAAATTAAGTTTGAGTAAACCAGCGAGACTTAGATATCACAAAACAACAAGAATTATCTTTTATTCATACCAATTATTCCCTGGTGTAAGAACGGCGTGCGAACGTTGTGGAAATCACAAAACAAATTCTAATACGACGACGCGCAGACAAATGGAACGTCGCGCTAGACAATGGAACTAAACGATTAGATTTGTACAAGCAAGTTTTGATAACTAAAGTGATAAAACGGACAATGGTCAGGGAAGCGAGGGAGAGGGCGGGGTGGGAAATGAGTTCCATGGCAGTCTGACTGATTGTGTAAGAAACTTTGTGCGCACAAGATTGGGTTACGTAACTTGATTAGCATCGCCTCGCCAAACGCCAAAATCCTGGGGTTCATGTTACGTAATAACCGGCTTGAACGACACTTGTGGGTCAAAGATGTGTCCAGTTGCCTTGACATGTTTTGTGATTGATAACCCTGGATTTCTCTTATCAGTTTGACCTATAAGACTTTGATGTGTCATCAATTGTAACAACCACTGGGGAACGTGTTCAGACATCCACTGTGCCAGGGGCTGATTCGTTCTACCGATGTAAGTGTCACCGCAACTGCAGGTGAAATGGTAGACGATATGTGAAGCAGAATTGTTCGGCTGGTTCTGTTTTCGGTTGTCTAAACGAAGCCTTTAAGTGTACGGTATCAATCGAAACTGTGCGGCAGGTAACGTTTGACACAATGCTGCCTTGAGCTTTTGACGCACGTCGCTCATTATGTGATCACCTTTAAGGACGAGCCTGAGGAGGACGCTCTTCTTCGGTACTTCGTAGACGGGGTCAACCGGTGTCTTTCGTCTGCTATGCACATCAATAAATTTATCTGGATAACCGTTGTCCAGTAGCGTCCTTCACAGAAAGGCCTCTTCTTGTTGGATAGTGTCAGGGGAGCAAATATTCCTGGCACGATAGAACAGAGTCTTCACCAGACCTCTTTTTTGAGTTACAGGAGCTAAACTGGCAAGTTGTAAGTATTGTCCACTCCATGTAGTCTTCCGGTAGACTGGTCTTTGCAAGGTTCCATCTGATCGCCTCCTGATTTTTATATCTGAAAAATTCAAACAACATCCTTTTCCTCCTCAAGGAAAAGAGAGATAGGGATGAATAGTATTAGATAGTGTTAAAATGGTATTGAAATGATCAGAGTCGGTAAAATCAAAATATCATCAACATAGCGTTTAACGAGGCGATGCTAATCAAGTTACGTAGCCCAGTCTTGTGCGCACAAAAGGTTTCTTACACAATCAGTCAGACTGCCATGGAACTCATTTCCCACCCCGCCCTCTCCCTTGCTTCCCTGACCATTGTCCGTTTTATCACTTTAGTTATCAAAACTTGCTTGTTCAAATACCAGATTGTTTTACGTTGTAGCGACTGAAGAGGCTAAAAGAAATGTTAGCATCTCGCAGTATTTGTCTTCTCTCGGTTCTAACGAAATGATGGATTATTTCGTAGTGAACCGCAGTTATTTACCAATATGGAAGAGCAGCTGTCATAGTTTACCATCAGCACTCAGAATATGAAAAGATCAATTCAGACCACTTTCTAAAAGTGGTGCCAAGGTACTTAATCATGTTCTGTCTACAGGCTGGAGAAATCTCACTATGTCGGGGTTCAGCGGGATAAGATGAGCTGCAAAGAGTAAATGTACACTGGACATCTTTCGACACGTTTTGATTAGGGCGTGACTGTGGTGAAAATCTTGAATAACCAGATCACCGAAATAGAGTAATGAATTATCGATGAATTGTACGTAATCCAGAGTGGTTTACTCACCTAACAAGAACCTTTGGGGAGATAAGCTTATTTTTTCGTTCCATTATCCTCCGGTTTGCATCGGGTTCTTTAAACGCTATTTAAAAAATGTGTTGGAACCATCAGTTTCATAGCTAAGCTAGCGTTCAATTAAGAGTGTTTTGTTTCCAATGATGGCATCGCATTTGCGATCTTCCTGAAACAACGTGGTGCACTTGCTTCACTCTCTCTCTCCCTCTCGCTGCGGTTCTTTTAGTCGTCCAGGCAAACGATCGAAGAAAGGTGGTCAGAGCATAAAGCGAATCGGATTGTCAAAGTATGTGCGGTGTGTAGGCCCAATGCAAATCTTTGTATGTGTAGCGGACCACCATTTTTATGTCCTTTTCCGGATCCTACAGAGTAGAGAATTGATTGCGCATTAGTTTTCCCGCTTGGGCAATTCGTCCCCTTCAGCTCAAAGATTGATTGCTTATTACGAAGATTTATTTTAGATTTTTCATTGGTGAACCCTGGGAAGTTACTCTGGAATGTGCGCGCATGCTCATGTCATACAGCCCTCGTACCTGAATAATTGCTTTTTGGTGTTTTTATATTCATAGCGGTTTTCCCTCTGCTATGTGGCTGAGTGAACACGGATTGTTATTTTTATCACGGACATGCATTTGATGAGATTTGACAGCATATGCAGTCAAAACACCGGTTTTGTGCATTGCAAACACCCACCCACCCCCAACTGCATCCACGTTTTATTCAATTTCATCCAACATCATCCAACCTATTTGTCTTCTTCTCTTCTAGTGTGGATTTGAATGCACCGGACCGGCTGAATTTCCCGTTGGTTGATGCTTCCGATGTTAGCGATTCGGAATCGGGCACACATCCCTTGCCTTTGGGTGGACGTCGTTCGAACTCCACCAGTTGGCTTCATTCCACCAGTCCACCTTCAATGGTCTCTTCCCCGTTGCAATATGTATTCAATGTACCCGGACACAGTCAGTTTTTCGACACTGCATCTAGCGGCATACCTTCACGGCCGGGATCGTGGCGTCGTAGTCATTTCGATTCCCACACAGATAATCGATCTTCGTTCGGTCATGTACGTTGTGTGAGCAGCACGGATACGTTATCTGCTTCTTGTGTGTATTTGTTAAATAAGTGGTGTTTTTTCACTCGTGTAGCTTAGGTTCATTTTTTACCTCAAACTTACCAACCTTTTCCG